AATTGTATGCGTACATTAATTTACATTTTTCAAGATAGACGAGTAAAATGTCCGGTGACTAATGAACGATAAGTGACATAGATGTCCAATATGCTTCAACCGTAAGATCCGGAAGAAAAAGAAGAGAAAGATGTTATATACGCTAAATATGAGAATGAAAACGTGAGCTGCACGATGAACGTAATTGTAAAATATATTTTTATAAATTATTGCTTTATTCGAATTAAATATATTACTGTAATTTGGGTTTCCATTACTGCAATAAGAAAATACCTTCTCTTCCCTCTTCACCGATTTCAACGAAATTTCGCAGGTTTATGAGTTCGTATATACAACAATCATAACCGGACTTATAACCGTAGATAGCAGGTCAGTTATAAAAAAAATAACTGTAAAATTTATACACAAAACATCTGCAAATTGTATATGCGTGGTATCCCAATACAAAGCAATTTACAGGTTTCTTTTCAGAAAATCACAAAAGAAATATAAAAATTAATGGTATTAACCCCTATGCTAATAACTAAAATATTACTGAATTAACAATATGCGTTTTACAGTAGAATGCTCCCTTAAGTAAGAATACATAATCAAGTTTACGTAAGTAATTAATTTCACTTGAACATTGAAGTACAAGATTGAAACCAAGCTTAGCTCTGATTGTATTTTTAAGCTACTTAGACGCCTCCGCCGCGGAGACTCTCCTTTTGAGTAATAGGTATTCCTGGAAATAATTTGCTTGAAATTCACTGGATGCTTCAATGCAGCGTACTCGAGACTTTCTATAAGGAAAAGTGCACTTTCATTTCGCGGAGTATTTAGTGGAAAAGACAGCAGAAGCTGCACCTGTACAAGTCACTCGTGACAAATTGCAGAGTTTGAATTTGACTCGGTGGCGATTGTCAGTTGATCGTGTTATTTTGGATTCGATGCACTTTCGCGTTGCACGGGGTATTAAATTTTACATGTATGCACCGGTTCATGAATCTAGACCTATTATCGGTTCTGTTCTTCCGTGTCTACGTACATTTGCATTCGTTTTACGCTCAGCCACGCTCGGTCCGTTTCTACAGCTTCCTTTATGCACGCATTTTATTGGACTCTTCTGCACCGACTTTCCGCCCAATGGAATACATTTTCGATCTCGATTTTCTTTGATTACTTTGCGGATGACAGAAGTAATTGTTACGGAGTTTCTCTCTTCGGATAGTAATGAAAATGGTTATGAATTCCTTTAATGCCTCTTAATTCTTTTAATGGCTCGATTGTAAATATTAAACCTTTCAGTAGCTTTTCCTACATATTCAACATTTTTTATGTTCCTACTGAAATATCGTCAAATCAATTTGAATCACCACTCTTTGTCTTTTACGTTTAGTTGCGTTTTCGAAGTAAGACTTTACAGAGAAACATTTAAGTACAAGAACTTTAAACATATTTATATGGTTGTTCAATCATATAAGATTCAGTAATTGGAGTCCCTGTTAAAAATCGAAATTCGTCTGAACCGCTCTTAATAGAAATGTACTCAATGTTACTTTTCACGTGTAGAAATTTTTTTAAATCTGAATAATTTTCTTTATGAATACCATATGATTCAAATGCAAGACGTTTATTTTAAATCTTGAATTAAATCTTGGAATTGTTGATATAACATATAAAAATCTTGAACGAAACTGTTTATTTGCTTTTATTGGAGGGCAATTCTTATATTTTATAAATTACTTTCATCATCGTCATATATATCACACGATCCTACTACTTTCGTTTTTCCATTTAAATCCCATCATTGTAGAAGACATTTACTATCGTGACTGGTCTGTTTAGTGTACTTTCCTTCAGCATACTATTATTACTGATATACAGGGTGTTCGGCCACCCCAGGGAAAAATTTTAATGGGCGACTCTAGAGGCAAAAATAAGACGAAAATCAAGAATACCAATTTGTTGATGGAGGCTTCGTTAAGTTATTAACGTCTAAAGTTCCGCCCGTACTGAATTTTTTTCTAGAAAGTGGGTAGAATTTCGGGGGTAGGTCTATTCACCAAAAATTATTGTATTTGACCCCCGTAACCGGAAATAATTTTTTAAGAACGATTTGAAATTTTTTCTTCGCCCAAAAATTTAGACAACGATTTTTCTTAAAAATTTGTTTTTCATTTTTAATAAAATTGTTTAACACTCTACAAAAAAGTTGTCTAATGCTTTTTTGTAGGTGCCCATGGGCTCTGCTTCAAAAAAAATTCCACTGAGATAGCTTTACTATTGTAGAAGTTATGGCCGTTTAAAAATTGGACCAGTTTTAGGGGGGTTTTCTCACTTTGCGGGGTTAAGGAACAACTTTTTGGAATTTCTTAGAAGTTCTACATATTCTACACCAAAATACGCGTTGTTTGCGTTTTGAAAAAATAAAATCCTCCAATCCGTTCAGGAGTTATGACATTTTTAAGATTCGCATGAAATTTCAGAGAAGCATTTCTGGTCTCAGATTAGATTTTCAGTACAGAATTTTTTTTTCGAAAGTGCGTAGAAATTCGGGGTATGTCTATTGACCAAAAATGCTTGTAATTGACCCTTGTAACTAAATACTATTTTTTTAGTATGATTTGAAACTTTTTAATTTAATTAATTAATAACTTTTCAATGAAGCCTCAGTCAAGAAATTGATATTCTTGATTTTCGTCTTATTTTGGCCTGTAGAATCTCCCATTAAAATTTTCCCCAGGTGTGGCCGAACACCCTGTATATTAACACTAGAACTATTCGCGCTCAAAATATTTTGTTTCTGAAAATAACAAGTATCACGACACAACATTGCGTTTCCTCTATAAGCATTTGATGCAGACTAAATTTTAAATATTTTTAAGGTGCAATAATCCAAACGAATAAAACTTTGGCTTACAACTAAAAAATATTCTCTATTAATAAAATGAAAAATAAAACGCTTATTTTTCTCACATAGACTCGTTTTAAATCGCTATCACATTTGTACATTATTATCCTTCATTATTTCTCATAAGAATTCAATTGGTGATTCATTACTCTTATGTCATCTGGAAAATGAAAAGTAGCTTTTTCAACCTGTATTTTTATTAGTATAGATGTCGAATATCTAAATAATGATTACATCACGATAATACGGAAGCAAATACCGCTATAATGTTTGCCTAAACCCCAAATATTTCGGTTTTTATTCTCTGATATTAACATTTTAAATAGAAACTGTACGTGTGAATCACATTGATATACTGACTGTCACATCACCCATATACGGGGGACATAACTTTTCATTAAGAAGCTAACAAAAAGTCATTCTGAAGATTAGATGTTAAAGAAAATAAATCTACATAGGATTCTTGAATGTTAACGAAGTTGTAAAAATAAGTTCTATAACAAATTCTAGGTGTGCTAGTATCCAATTGTCTAAAAACAAAGTATCATCTTCAACGTCGGATTATATCATAATTGTAAGTATTTACTTGTTAAAATCTTTGAAAATTATACGTGGTGCAACGCAGGAGATTGGGGAAGAATTTATAGAAAGCATGGAAGCAAAATCATTAATTTATATTTGACTTTTTCGAACAAAAAGCTTTGGGTATCTAGGTATCCCTTTTATTGAACAATCATAAATAAATAATTTTTGTAAATAAATAAAAAAAGCATCTCGAAAAAATCCGGAAGAATCGTTTAGAGCTCACGAAGGACATAGAGCGAGGCAACGCGTATATCCACGACGGGACCTCCGTAAACCGGTAGCGATGAGCTGTTCGAATCTCAGCTTTGAAACGGTTCCAAATTTTTAAGTCTACCAAAACTCGAATTGTTTTGAATATAACTCGAAGGTTGAAACTCTCGAAATTCTCGAGTTTTGATAACTAAATTGGGAAAATTTTATTCGCAAACAAAGAATAAAATTTTCAGATTCATTCGTGAACTAAGTTTTGTTTATATTACATCTGTTTTATTTGTGAATTATAATCCATCAACAGCTTTTGCAAAAACTGTAACTTCGTTCAACGAGAACAGGCAACGTTTATTCATCGACTGTGAATATTATTTGTGAATAAAATTTGTATTCGTTATTTGTAAATCAAATTTGCCCAAAAGTCTTGATAATTGCATAATAGAATCGGTTCAAACATAGAGTAGTGAGTACAAATGAAAGAGATGCGATCGTGTCAAGCTGAATATTTTTTCATATTTGGCCAATTTGTACTTTACTATTAATTGAAGTCAGTAATATATATATAGTAGATTCGAATAACAGGAAAATTAAATAGTGTAAAAATGAAATTTTTGAAAAAATTAATTGATTACTTTAATATATTATTTATCACAGAAACAAAAATTTGTACTTTAATTTATTACAACATTGTGTCTATAATGTGTAATATAGTAATATACATACATTATAGCTACGCAATGTAATATGTACTACTTGTATCATTTATTTAAATATTGAACTTGACACAGTATCAGGTTCGACAGCGAAATGAGATAATACTGTAACACTTCATTTGAATCTCTTTCTCTTTTACTCGCTACCCTTTTTTATGTTTGAACCGATTCTATCATACTATGCACACTAACACTCGGAAATCTATCAAGCCTTCCAAGACTCAAGACACTCAGGATATTCAAGACATTAAAGACTTTAGAGAGTACATATTAAGCTTCGAGTGATATTTGAATTGATGCTCCAAATTCCATCGCTAGCCACCGGCTGCACGGTGTGTTTCTAAACTGCGGAACAGAGTAGTCACTCTAGTGCAAGTGTCCACATAATCTTGTGACTCTTGCACAAGCAGGTCGTTCGGTGCTCGACGGAGTTTCGGAGTGTTATTTGCAATTGAGAAAACAAGTCTCTTCGTATAGTATCGCGGAGCAGCCAAACGATCCTGTCTGCGTGCGGTAAACGAGTCTGGAGGCGATCGGAAGACCGGCAGCCAAGAGCACGAGGTTAACGAAACGGGGCCGATTTATCAGCTATTACATACCTCGGACAGGGCGTCCTCCATCATATTGCTGGTATCTCTCATGACTCTGAATGGAAACTAGCACCGACAACAATCACTCAACGCCCACGTTTTATCCGTTTCCTTCTCCCGGCGTGGTGTTCGGCGTATCTTTCACTGTGTTCTTTCGTCCTCTCCTCCGCGGCCCCCTCCCCACCGACGAGAACTCCACGAGGCCGTGAAGACCGAAGTGACTTCCTTGGCGGAGAACTCCGAGGATCGTCACCGACTCCCGGGTAACGTGGTGTTCCCTGTCACGAGCACATTGTTCACAGGGGATCGGTTTCGAGGAGGCTGTTCGTTTGAAGGCGCGTAACTTCGCCGTTGGATCGATCGTATCGCAACGTGTCACTTCCCTCCCTCTCCGTCTGTGCGACTGGTTCGGCCGTTTCCCTACGGAGAGCCGTTCTCCCGCGACACAGGGTCGCCGACGTCCCGCGATCCTTCGCGGATCAGCACGAGCTGCGGTACGCTAACGAAAAGGGGATGACGTGGTGGCATCCGAGCGTGGGGAGCTCAACGGGCTCACGAGACGATCGCGGGGCGATCCATCGATGTACGCGGCTTTGGAAATACTGGCGAGCGCTGTCAGGTAAGCCAGAGAGCAGGTCGAGTCGTGGTCGACAGACAGCCAGCAGGCCAGACCTGCCACCATGACACTGCTCCCGTCCTCTTCTACCCTCTCGCGATCTCTCCCTTGCACCGACTGCTTGCAGCTGCCTTTCCTCCCCGCCCTGCTTGCCCGACTTCCCCTCCGACTCCCACTATCCCGCTGTTTCCACTCTCTATCTCCGTCTGCTTTCCTCTTCAACTGGAACATCCGACCTTCCTCGTCGCTCCTACCACCGCGACTGGTCTCCCCTCCCTTTCCATTCCAGTGATCGCCGTCGCTTCTCCTTCTCTAGCCTGCGTTTTCCTCCCGATTCCCCTCCCGTGGCAAGACATTCTCACTCCTTCTTCCTTCCCTGACGCCCCTCCACGCTGGAGTTTCCCGCAGCTTCGGCCACGAACGCTTCTTCCACGCACGGTTCAACCGGAGACGTCGTCGATCAGAAGACCGCGGAGTTTAAATCGCCGCACGGTAGGGGAATTAAAGGGGTATTCCAGCCCGAACTGCGCTTTTTGAAACTTTCTTGGGGAATTTTTTGCAAATAAACTATCAAATCAAAATGAGAAATAATTAAGATTTTATGAGTTACAATAAAATTTATTTTAAAATAAATGAATTTTAATTATAAAAATATCCTTAATTAAATTTAACCCATTCGCTGCTAAGGACGAGTATATTCGTCTTTGGCAGGGTGTTATGCGTTGTCAAAACGAGTACACTCGTCCTACTTTCAATATGTTATAACATACAGGCTTTTGAATAAGCAAATTTTTTGTGCCCACAAACATAAATATACAAATGTAAAAAACTTGAAAAAAATACTATGAATAAAATTTATTACAAAAATTATACATCAATTATTATTTAATGAGAATAATCTTTTACAGATTTAAATTAAGCAAAAATCAACTTCATCGTGTATTTATAACAAAATTTTATAGCAACTTAATCACATATTATTAATTATCTTTATGATAGGATCGAACAGTAATATCTAGTCTCCTTGCGAATGTTTTTCGTTGCAAAAACTCTACATTTGCAAGTTGGATTTTTATTTTTTGGTGTAAGAGGAATAGCATCAAGATAATGAAGGGAATTTTGTTCCTGGGGTATGATTGACGTAGATGGCTGCGATTGAATGATTGCATCTTGGCATTCGTTTAGCAAATATTGTATAACATCTTCTCTAGATTTAAGAGATGTTTTATTTTCTGCGTTCGATTGCTGAGAATAAAATTTGTATGCATTATGCACAGCCATTTCCATTATGTGTACGGCTATTTTTTTATACCAACGAAGAGTTTTTCTCATAGCACTATAGTAGGACAGCATTAATATGTGCTTTTACCAAGAAATAACACAACTTTGGTAAACAATACCACTCAAAATATAAATGGCAATGGCAATAGCTTCATATAATAAAGGCTTGGCAGCGAATGTGTTAAATGATTACGAAAAATCAAAAATTAATTTTATAAACCATTTGAACACCTGTTGTAATCAAATTTACAAGGCATATTCGTACATGTTTCAGTAACATTTTAACATTTTTTGGACGAAAGAAAGTTAAAATTGTTGGCTCTGCATACTCTCAAACATAGTTACTTTAAAAAAAGCTCCATGATTCCGGCCGTTCTGTTTGTTTGAAATGAGAAAACGTAAAAGACACTTAATTAATATTAGTTTGACTATATGAATAATTAAAAAAATGACAACACTTTTAAGTTTGATTATCGATTTCTAAACTGTTAAGCCAATTGGTCAAGTAGATTTTGAGGTATCATGGACACCGTTCTAATAAACATAGTTTCGAGAAAAATGCTTTCAGTTTATATCCCTATCGTCCTTTAAACACCCATAACTTCGTTTATTTTAGAAGTTCAAGCATAAGGTATTGCATATATTTTTAAAATTATATTCTTTAAGAGAATATCAAAAAAAGGAAATTGACTTTTTCAAAGGTTTACACTAGAATACCCCATTACAGTCAAAAAATGGAAAAAAACTCTTGCCATAGAGTGGATGAAGTTTGTATAAGAGTACCATAATTTACTACTAAAAATTTATTGATTTAATAAATATATGTTTATTTGACTTATTTTTTAAAAAAACAAATATTGTGACAGAAAACTGTATTTATTTTTTAGGTATTTGCTTCAAACTAAACCAGACATATTTTTTGAGATGCAATAGTAGTACAAACAAAAACATATCGACAAATACGAGAGTCATATATTTTTATGGAAACCACAAAAGAAGTATACGTATACAACAACTGAAAAAACATAACGCACATGTTTGTTTTGATAATGTTTATACAATCTGTGAATTTTGAAATATATTTAGTTTCCTAAAAAAAGTATTTTCAACTGTACGGAAATTTTGTGAGAAACTTCTGAAATTCTAATGAAATAAAAAAGTTTACCAAAATTCTATAAGAAATCGAAGTAACTCGTCTAAGTATGTCTAAATATATTACGTATAAATTTTGCACAAGAAATAAGAAGAAAGAAAGAACACTTTAGGGAATAATTTTACGTAAAAAAATAAGACTAGAATGTGATATACAATTTTTTCATCCGTGGTTTCTTTTTCGAGAAAATCGAATTTAAAGTTTACTCAACAACACAATACGATTTATTTATCGCGTATTCTATGACAGGATACTGTAAGACATACCCAGATAGTTCAATGACTGACAGAAATTACCAGATTACGTAATAATTTATTTTGTTTCGTTTGTTGCAAATTATCAAGTCATAGCAAGGTATTCAAATCGAGAATATGTTGACATGTTACTCGTGTTGGGAAGTGGTGGTGCTTCTGCTGCAAGTAGATATTAAGCTTATCTTTAATTCATCGAGCACAATTACGTATGCAGCAACGAGGAGAATATTTCCAACAGTATTTGTCAAGTTATAAACTGAAATAAAAGTAATAAACTTCAAATTCGATTTTCTCGAAAACAAAGCCTCGGACGACAAAATTGAATACGAAATATTTTCCTTATTTTTTTATGTAGCATTACTCCCTGACCAGTTGTACTTCTATTTTCTACCCACTCTGTATATACTTTATAAATCAAGATGTACTGAAAATAGGTAATCATTATAACTGGACTCCGGATGTTTATGCAGAATACATATGTGAAGAACATATGCTATTTATACCCGAAATATATGCTAATATGCAGAGAAAATATACAAAATTAACGATACATTTTACAATTATTATGACATATTGTAATTTGTGTTTCCTGATAAACTAAATTAATTCGTTCAAGAAAATATTCGACATGAGCACGAAATATATAAAAAAGCATGCCATAACATATTGTATATGTTTTTAAACATAAAACATAAAAACATATGCATTATGCAAAAAATACAAAATAAAAAATATATTTTTAGAATTTTCTATGCATAAAACATATTTCAAGTCCTATTGCTATATCTGTTTTCTATAAAAATATGCATTTGTATAAACATCCGAAATCTAATTACAACAAATAACAAAACAAGTCATTTTGATCCTCTTAGTAGGTCTAATATTAATTTAACTTTTATCTTACAATTTGTAATTAGAGTAATAACAGCGAAGTAACGAAAATTTTGTAATCAACGATGAAGAAACATTATACTCTTCTTCAAATTTAATTTTGAAGTATGTCCAGACATTTTTTATTATTTCAAATCGTAGGTTTGAGCAAACCATTATAAAATTTAAGATGGTTGAACGTACAACCGATTCTTCACACTTCATATAGTGTTTCGTGTTGTTATCATGTTGGAATATATCTCATTCGAGTACTGGCATATTTTTAATTGTTCCTATAACTTTTTCCCCCGAAAATGTCTTTATACGCATATTGATTCGTAAAATCGTCGATTCGGTGAAGTGAACTTACATCATACGGTGTAATGCGCCATCACATGTTAATTGGAATTGTTAACGAATTTAACTGTGTATTTATACTCAAACACCATGAGTCCAGTTTTTATACTGTTTTTTCAATTCTCTTCGAACTCTCCATTTGCAAATTCTTTTTTCAATATCTTTTCATAATAATTTTGTTGTCATTGATGCCGTCGTTGTTTCTACTGTAATAATTACACTACGAAACTTTATGCAAATTCATATTTCTATTAAGAGAATTAACGAATTTGGAGCTTTGTAGAGGGTTGTCTTAACCTCTAAATATCATAATTCATATCATACTTTAAGTACTTATATTTTTGCAAATTAAGTTCATTCTATAGTTTCCTGAAAATTGAAATTTTTCATAAATGCATAAACATCTTCATTCTTGTAATAATACATGTACCTTGTCAATTTTCTTTTCTTCTGGAAAACAGCCGTTATATTATAAAAGAGAGGTTTTGATCTTTTTTATGGTACTTTTAGTTGCGTAAAAGATCTTCATATTTTCACTCGTGTTCCAGTCTGAAACAATTCAACTTAGGAACATGAAAGTAGATGGTCCAACCTATAAAAAGACCCCAGGAAGATTGTTCTAAGACTTCTTTTCACAAAATTATAATAGATCAAATATTGACCACGTCTCGGCCAAGTGTCCTAATACTTACGACCGATAGTGTACATAGAAGTTCAAAAATACGATGACCCTCGAAAATAAAGGTATATTGGTCTACGTATTGACAAACGTCAACCGTGCTGATTCGCACTACAGTTCTTGAATTTGTCCAATAGAGTTTCACAACCTTCTTCCCCGTGTGCTTTATTAATTTTCATAATACAGGTTGTCTGCGCATCAAAAGGATCAAACCGAAGACCTAACCAAACACAGGATACCTTTTGCCAAAATATTTACGTGCGAAGTTCGACTGTTGTCAATTCCCATTAGGCAGCTGTCCGCGATTTCCCACTTCTTTCTTCGAGCACGAGTCTTCGTTCTGTCAAGCCGAACTGTTCAATTTCTAGACATCCAGAACGATACATGTCTCCGATCAGTTTCCCATGTTCTTCTCGAACGATCGAGAAAAATAACAAAGCCTCTTATACATCACCGAAAGTGGTGGAATCGCGATAACGGGTTTCCCGGGAAAGATGAAAACGACGTCGCGGCAAAAAGGATTCTCCAACGCGAATTTTGGCTGAAAGAGGAGCGTTCTCGCGGCACTACAAAGCGGTTCACGCGTCCTGGCGAAGGGCAACGATGCAGACGAACAGCTGCTATTTCACCTGTTCGATATATTATTTAAATGCTTCACCTGCCGCGATGTCAAGATATCGCGAGATAACAGGCCAGCGTTTCCTGCTTTCTTAACGATATCTCGCGAGACTTTCGGCGCCGTTCCGTTCTCGAGATATTTCTTACGAATTGCTGCACAGTGGGAATTCGCGAAAGTGATCGCAAAGATCACGAAACGCGAGCAATTCTCTGTTGTCGGATGGCGGTACCTGATACAGTAAAATTCCGATTATCCGGTATGCTCGGGACTGGGGCTATGCCGGGAAATCAAATATGCCGGATAATTGAACTGTACCTACATATGAAGTGATAAAAACGAGGAATATAATAATAGACGAGATATACGAGTAGAGCTTACATCCAATGTATTTTTTCGGCCCATTTTTCTGAGGCTCTAGAGCCGCATTACCATTTTCGTGTCACTCGCAACATTACCAACAGGTTACACAAATGTATATGAGGAAGTGAGACAGAAAATGAAATTACAAAAACATTTCTGGCCTGAAATTATATTTTTGGTAAAGAATTTTGTTCTCAAAAGTGCGTAGGAATTCAGTAGTGTGTGTATTCACCAAAAGTAATTGCAATTGACCCCCGCAACCAAAAATAATTTTTTCAGAATGATTTGAAACTTTTCAATTTCTCCGAAAAAGGCACCTACCTTTTGTTGATTTTTCTTAAAAATTCGTTATTGATTTTTAGTAATTTCGTTTGGCGACCCATAGAAAAGTTATCTAATACTTTTTTGTTGGTACCCATGAGCTCTACTTCAGAAAAATGTTTTATTGAAATATATTCACTATTGTAGAAGTTATGGCTGTTTGAAAATTGGACCATTTTTATGGGGGTTTTCTCACTTTACGGAGTCAAGGAACAACTTATTCAATATTGTTAAAATTTCTACGTATTCTTCACTAAACTACGCGTTGTTTGCATTTTGAAGCTTTAGAATTCTTCAATCCGTTCAGAAGTTATGATATTTTAAAGATACGCATGAAATTTTGGAGTGACATTTCTGGTCTGAAATTATATTTTCGGTAAGGAATTTTTGTCTCGGGAATGGTTAGGATTTCGAGGGTATATTTTTCACCAAAAATGATTATAATTGACCCCCACAACCGCAAATAATTTTTCCATAACGATTTGAAATTTTTTTTTCGCCGAAAAATGTAAGCACCTACCCCCTGTCGATTTTTCTTAAAAATTCGTTTTTCATTTTTAATAAATTTGTTTGACACTGTACGGAAATTTTGTTTAGTACTTTTTTGTAGGTATTCATGAGTTCTACTTCCATACTAAATTTCATTGAGATACGTTCACTATTGTAGATGTTATAGACGTTTGAATATTGTACCATTTTTATGCGGCTTTTTTTACTTTGCAAGGTTACGGAACAACTTTTGCAATAGTCTTGGAGTTTCTGCATATTCTTCACCAAAATACGCATTGTTTGCAGTTTAAAACATTAAAATCCCCCAATCCGTTCAGAAGTTATGATATTTGAAACATTTCCATAAAATTTCGAGAAAGTATTTCTGGTCAGAAATTATATTTTCGGTAAAGAATTTTTTCTCAAAAAATGATTGTAATTAACCCACGCAGCCAAAAATAATTTTTTCAGAATAATTTGAAATTTTTTAATTTCACCAAGAAATTTCTGCACCTGCCTCCTGGCGATTTTTCTTAAGAATTCGTTTTTGATTTTTAATACACACAAGCATGACTAATGTAGTAATAAAATTTATTGATACAAAATAAAATATATAAAATTTCTACGTTTTAGTCTTCAGCTGTTTAGTATCGACGTCACTGCTGGATGAATGCAGCTGTGACTTCTTCGTTTGTGTTAAATATAATCCATAAGATTCACCGAAGAATAGTCAGGGTAAATATACCAGCTATTCGGACATTCCGATTCTTTTTATCGAGTAAAAAAATTTTTTCGAAATTTTTATTATTGCACCTTGTTCAACTCAAAGTACTCATTTATTTTTATTTTAAACATTGTTTCGTCAGATTAGTAAATGCCTCAAAAATCGGTGCGATCGTTAATATAAACAGCCAGTATATGTACCTAACATATTTAAACAATTTTAATATGTAATAAAATATAAACTAAGTGCTGTGTACAATTGTATGTGTAATAATGCAGTAATCCACCTATTGAGGGGAGAACCTGAGGGGGGAATTTTGTCTCCACAGAAAATTTTAGGATCCTACTAATATAAGTGGTTGTAAAGAGCTTTTAAAAAGCTGTTTACTCGAATGAGACTAAAAACGTAAATTTGAAAAAATGGAGTATGGTGAGAATGAATTTTGAAAAAATTTTGTTAGAAAATTAAATAAATGATTGAAAGTCTGCAATACTTTTTAGCACTTTAATTCATTAACAGTTTCGTGTAAAAGGCAATGTAAGTTTAGGCATACATTATTAAATGTAAAATATGAAAGCTCTACGTTCCTGAATTCATCGATACGTGTTAGGGAAGAATAAATGAAAGTCTGTAATATTTATCAAACGTTTAAAAACATTAACATTAGTTTCTTATATTGCACGATATTGAAATCGTTCTGGGCTTTAACCCACTAGAGAATATTTCCAACAATAAAATAATGTTCTACAAATATTTCGATCAGTCTTTTGTTCAATTTACAAGACATTAATTAGATTACAATAAAATGAGTATAATATTTTTACTTTCTTCTATAATTACTTGTTTGTAGTAACTGTATCGCTTAAAGGAAGTTTAAAACAGGTGTGAAACATAAAAATGTCACAAAATTACAGTGCCAAATAATAAATAAGTTAGGATTATATAATTCTTAATTGAACTATATTTTATTCCCATTCATGAATATCACTCGGCGATCTAGACCGACTATAATCGGGCTCATTTTCTTCATATATTTTGCCAATTGTTCTGCATCCGCTTCTCCGACGTTGTGATTGATGCCGCAGGTTGTAAAAGGGTGATATCCATCGCCAGCGCGAACCAAGAAGGATGGAACCACTATTCTGTACCAAATGTCGAGCTTCAACGGCTCAAATTTTGGCACTTCGCACGCGCGACACCTGAAAAAACAAATCTTGCGACCATTTCTGAAGAATCAAAATCGACAAAATTACCTTATTTGGACGTCCATCGCGGTTCTGATGTTGTTGGTCTCGTTGTAGGTCACTTTCAGTCCCGACCATACTAAAATTCCGTTCAACTCCAGAATCTGGAACGTCGAATCGCTTTGTATAACTTTAATAGCAGGCAACGATCATTTAACCTTTAACATAAACGCTACCACCGTTCAATTGAAAGACCGTCCGCCACAGATCACGCTATATTTGTCGTAATCTTATTCGGTGTAGTGCATACTTCCAATTATATACAAATTATGTAAATGTAGTAAATAGTCCAACGAAGTATTTTCAATATGGTAACCCACATAATGTGACAATGGTCGATAGTTCAGCTTTCATTTCATTATACAGATATAAAATAGACTCTTATTCTCTTTATTTCTATTCTTTCTTTAACTATTAATAAATAGTTCCTACGTTTGTAAAAAGGAAATTCCACCTGTATTAAGTGAGAGGTGTAGTTAAAACTCTCAGAGGCAATTGCAGAACGTTAAACGAGACGAAATGGTGCATTCAAGACCGCAACAGTTACTACACGTCGGTAAGAACGACAGTCTTCAACAGGAGACTATCAAACAGAATATAAAAATTCCACGAGAAATCGCAGAATGATTTTAAATAATTCCAAGTGCAATAATTACATGTTGATAACGCTAAATATTTAATAAAAATTTTACCTTTACAGTGTTTTGTAACTTTAGTTATTCAATTAATTCTCTTGAATCTAATATTTAATCTTTTGATATCAAATAGTTTAACTATTTGAAACACTGTAATCTAACGAGAGAAAGATTGTACAAAGAAATTATAGTAGTTTGTACCTGCATGATGCAACTGCCGTTTAATTCGAGGATGTCCCACGTGTTCTCAAAGGGCTGGGACATCATCAAATCACCAAAAGTGATGTCCTGATTAACTGATTCGATAGGAGCACGTATTCCTCCGGGATTCATACACGCGACAGCAGCATACGTCCAGAAAGTCTGATTTTCAGCCCGCTCCACGTACTACGATTATTCAAGGCAAAATTAATTAGAAAATTCGTGAATAATAAAGCTTATTTCGCCACGATTGTAGAACAAAGTAATTCGATGAAACTTCAAACCAAATTCGGTATGTCGATTATTGAAGAATGATTACAGAAATATTTCTGAAACGTTTATAAACTTAATTCAATTAACCAACTATATACGACAACTGTGACTCAGAATATTTATATTTAAAAAACTTTAGCTTATATTTAAATAATAAATAAATAAAATAATAAGAGTTATTGTATTTAAATAACTTTTATAGTTAAACCTTAAATCTGCATTTTGGATAGAATTTATATTAGACAGAATCAATTTTAACGCGATCGAGATAAAAATTGTTAAATGAAAACATGTCTGTTATTTCCAAGTATTCGCAAATTCAGTTTCTTGAAGAAATTGTCAGAGTATTTTAGATCTCCACTCCGTCCTAGGAAATACTTTTGTCAGCATTTAAAACTTTGCAAAAAGTTTTTATCTTTTCAAAGAAAGGAATAGAAATATTAAAATTGTAATAATTGTTCAACATTTGCCAACGAATAAAGAAATCGGAATAAGGAAATACTTCTGTCAGAATTTAAAATTTTGCAAAAAGTTTTTATCTTTTCAGAGAAAAAAATAGAAATATTAAAATTGTAATGATTGTTCAACATTTGCCAACGAATAAAGAAATCGCACGAAGCAATTACAATTTAAATAACAGGTTTGTTAGGATTCGAATCTCTTTTGTCTGACACTTGCTTTTTTTAATATAGTAAAAAATGAAAGGATGATCTAAAAAGTGATATCCGTTTTAATGAATCTTACAATATCGTTTGGAAATTTTCTAATATGTGCAATTTTTAATTTCTTTCCATATAACAAAGTAACACTTCTTTTCAAGAAATAATTTCTCTACGTACAGCATCCACCATTGCATCTGTGATTAAATTCCCCAAATTGCATTCGCTTCTGCGGCATTTATTGTCCAAGTAAACTTTCGATCGACCAACTTTTGACGACTCCTTTTCATCCACAGGTGCTCTCCAGGGTTCCAAAGCTTGCAGCATCGCTGGATCTGCAAGAAATTTGAATTTGAAAGTAATACATGTCAATCGTTTCACAACGAACAATGTAAAATAAACAATTTTCTGTCTCGCCTTTCTATTCATTTCTGTATGAAACATTTTTCAAATTCTAATTAATTGATACGAAAATAAAAATTGTCACTAATCCTGATTATTACTAATTAGTAACACTATTCATTTCTTACTTAATTATTGTGTCGCAAGATAGTTTTAACATTAACTTTTACGTATTATTTGTCTTAAAATAAAAAATATTAACAAATCTGTATCTTTGTTAAAATATGTTCATATATAATTTTACTCCAATCTTAAAAAGTTTATTTGATGATTTCAATGCAATATGCCATCTACTCAATTTTCATTTCATGTTATTCATTGGTGCCTTTAATTTCGTTAGAATTAGTTTATTTCTCATATTTTTAAAAATATTTCTCTTCTGCAGTACTGGGAATGATTTTCTTAACTGAAACATTTTTGCTTGTGCAAGTTCGCAAACCATTTTTTGTTTTCTTTTTGCCATAAGTCTTACATTATACATCGCGTCTGTATTTATAATTGTTTTTCGTAATGCAGTACAATCTCGAACTAGGCACCTTTAAAATAAAATTAACTAAAGTGCTACTTCAAATAAAGTTTTACCTCATTTCGTAATTCTTTTAAATTTCAAATACATTTTCGTTATCCTATGTTACGAAATAGCTTTGAGAATAATTATTCTGTATTTAAAATAAGAAAATAATGTAATGCATTAAATATATCGAAAATATAATCCATTCAAAAACTTTTGATAGAAGAAATTATAAAATTCATTGAGTTGATATAAAAATGTATCATTAAAATTCTTTATGTAAACAATAATACTCATTGTTTCAACGCTTGGTTGATATAAATACTTGCCATTTCAATCTTAAACTTAAGCACATATTATTTATAATCGATATTTTAGTTGTTTTGAGATACTGAAATACATATATTTATTTTAAATAGAATTATTTTAGGCCTAGCAGGACTTAATCATCGGATCTTCTATTTTTTTTTTTTGCAAAGAAATATTTATTCGATTGTATTGTGGAGCAGTTTGCGTTCTGTAAATACATCGAAAAACCAGCTAGCTCGGAAACATTTATACGATACTGTACATTTAAAAACTCACCCTCTTCGACGGAGGAATCAAGAAGAATTGGATTTCCGGTCCAATCAGCCACTTCGCCCTCCTCGTCAAACCAGACCGTTAAGTTCCCCAAATACCTGACGCAAACAGGGACTTCGTCACTTTCGAGAAGAAAAACACGGAGTTTAAAGTAACAGGGGAGATCGGTCGAGAAGGAATTACGAACTTGGTGTACGCTGCCGCCTGAACAATCAGGACTGTTCTCTTGGTGTTTTCTTGAACCACCACCACCGGGTACTTGTCTGCGGGGGTGTCGATGAATGGAGGCTTACCTAAAGACGTAAAAATAATTTTGTGATGAAATCAAATCTCAAGATTCCCCGAGAAAAATGCTAATTTTAACATTTTCTCGTACAATTCTGTGTATGCTTTTCGTCATTGGTTATTTTTTACTGTTTATTTTATAAATACTTGTTCGTGTAAAGAAATATGTGTCAGCGATACATAATGATACAACTCACAATTCTCCCAACAACTCAAAGTGCTATTTTTATTAGATTATCATGAAGTTTTATTCAACTTTTCAACTTTCTAATTCTATTCTAACTATTCGAGTGTTATTTCTGTGAATACTTGCCAGTGTAAAGGAACGTGTGCGAATGTCCACCAACAATCACGTCGACCAAAGGACACTGGGCGGCCATTTTTCTATCCACGTCCAATCCAGAGTGGCTCAAAACAATGATAATGTCGACCCCCTGAGATTTCAGTCTCAACGCCTCGTCGTTCACCGATTTTACCTCGTCCAAAAACTTTAACTTCCCGGTGACGGATATCGTCTGGTAATTTATGATGAGTACCAATTAAGGAACGCAAAGTCATTCTTTCGTTTAAATCTCCGGTCTCTCTAATCGTCTCTCTTTGTTAACTTCGCGCGACTATTCGCAGCTTCTTAGAATCTGCTCGATTCAATCGACGACAGAAACGTGACTCGACAAAAAGAATAGTTAACGACGTTCGCTATTTAACTCGCAGCTACTACGAAACCGTCTTAGTTACTTTGAAACTTGTTTGAGCGTGACCTTGGTGTCGCCATTATTAGAAAGTGAAAAAAAGAGAGGTTTTGCAAGATTAAAAGTGATGTTAATTAAGATTTCACGGAGATACGGTTCAACAAGATGTATATTTTAAGCTTTGATTCGATTTCAATGACGAAGATTTCAACAGTCGAATGATAGTTTTTGAGAATAATTATGTCGGTCGAGAGAAAGTTTAGAATGAATTGATACGAACGTTTGTGGTGGATAAAATGACACCAATGACTCCGATTTTGATACCATTTCTTAGAAGAATTGTACTGTTTTTATAGAGACCCTGAAAACGAGCAAGAAATTTTAAGTAAAAGAATCGATCGAAATTTCAATCATGCAACTAACCTGCATCGATGGCTCCTCGCTGGCATCTATATTGGCCACCACAACTGGTGCCTTTAACCTTTTCAAAAAGGGAACGACACCCTTGATATCATCGTCGAATTCGTGGTTTCCGATTGTCTGGAATTAGAGTTGGGCAAAATGTAGTCTGATTACATTTGTCACGATACGATTACATGTAATCACGCGGTAATTATTGACCACTTACGCTATTATCACAACCGTAAGTCTTTAAAACGTGTAATAACTATTTAATTACCGCGTGGTTACAGTGCGATTACATTATGATAACACGTAATCAGTTTACATTTTGTTCAATTCTATCTGGAATAAATAGGCGATAATTACAATATGTTCAGAATATTTTTATCTGTGACTTAACTTCGAATGTGAATAATCTTTCTCCTCTCTCACGAACAAATTTCATATCTAGTTAAAAATGTCTAATAACGAATGCGAATAACGCTATGAATTATAAAATAAAATTATATTTCACATTTAATGAGTAAAAGCTTATTTTAATAACTGTTTGATCGTGCAAACGTAACTAATAAATCGATACATGGTGTTTTAAATAACATTTATCGTTTCCTTGACTATTCAAAGGTTGCAATATGGCGAATTGCATTTAAAAACGTATGTTTCAAAGCGAATTGCAAAATTGTGTTATTGTAACTTTTGTTACTATTCCGAGAAGGTCTTCAAGTAGCATGAATATGAAAAATATTCCAATTCCAAAATATCCTTTTAAAAATATATTTTTATCCTGGAAATAAGGATACCGTCTTAAATAATTGATTGTATATAAAATGATACAAAAACGAGCAGGAGAAACACATAACATACCGATAAAAGTTATAAATTTGTGTGCACTTGGAGTCTGTTAATGATATATCAGAAAATTTTATCTTAAAAATCGTATGAAAATGATGAAAATGAATCCAAATAGAATCTTATTCGATATATTTTTAATTACACACACTGGGAAGTTTAGCGGAAGTAAGGAATTAAAAGTTGTAAAATTGATGTCCTCTTTTTTATATTTTAGTAATTAGAATGTTTTTTGGTGGGAAACACAATTAAAACTCGCGGAAATCGCTTTACAAAACGAGGATACATTTCTTACATGGAATATCAAAATCCACCAAAACTATTTAAGTTAAATTTCAATTGTAACAAATTTTTCTCAGATCAACAAGTTCATCCTTGACCATCTCTACATCTTCGATAAAATTTATGTTAGACAAGAAAGAATTGCGATTCCTCAATTTGAACGATATCGAGATAACAAATTTATTTTGCTCTAATTTTCCAATATACAGGGTGTTCGGCCACCCCTGGAAAAAATTTTAATGGGAGATTCCAGAGGCCAAAATAAGACGAAAATCAAGGGTACTAATTTGTTGATTGAGGCTTCATTAAAAAGTTATACATAGAAACATTTCCGGCTACACAGTATATTTTCGGTAACGAATTTTTTTCTTGAAAGTACGTAGGATTTCAGGGGTATGTGTATTCACCAAAAATGATTGTAATTGAGCCCCGCAACCAAAAATAATTTTTCCAGAACGATTTGAAATTTTTTAATTTTGTCGAAGAATTTGTCCACATTCCTGAATTTTTTTCTCGAAAGTGCGAATGATTTCGGAGATATGTTTATTCACCAAAAATGATTGCAATTAACCCCTTCAACCGAAAATAATTTTTTCAGAACGATTTAGAATTTTTTTTCGTCAAAAAATTTAGGCACCACTTCGATTTTTTTTCTCGAAAATGCGTAGATTTTCGGAGGTGTGTCTATTCATAAAAAATGATTGTAATTGAGCCCCGTAACCGAAAATAATTTTCCCAGAACGATTTGAAACTTCTAAATGTAATTTTGTAATAACTTTTTAACGAAGCCTCAATCAACAAATTGATATTATTGATTTTCGACTTATTTTGGCCTCTAGAATCTCCCGTTAAAATTTTTTCTTGTATACTAAACTTCTTAACATTTGCATAATTGTTTTAAAACATCCGTACTTATTTCGTTTCTTTTACCTTTATTACTTAATATCTCAAACTGTGTATTTACCAGTATACTATCCATGTCATTATATTAGTCAACATATTTACTAGAAATTCCCCAATGGAATTGATTGTAAATTTAATGGTGTGATAATAAAAAAAAAACTTATTCCGTTTTCATCGATTGGACAATCGTTGCGAATGGTACGCGGTTTCCTGGATTTTTATAATTATACGTGTATCGTTCGTCGAAATTCGGGGCCGATTCGTTCGATTTTATCGTTTGGACGCGGAATCTCGTTAACTAACGGAACGAGCACCGTATTCGAATAATCGATCGTTAAACTCTTTGACCCAATTAAACAGGTTACGAACAGCCGAAAGAATCCGTCCCGTGTTTCGTTTTCGTCGTCTTTTCTTTTTCACGGACTCGTTTCCCATCGTTTTACCATAACGTCGTGCGGCAGCATGTTCATGAACACAGCAGTCACGTTCCATCGATGAACATTGTACCAGAGCGTCCCCTGGAAATTGTCGCCGGCGTTCAGGAAAATTGGATTCGGTCTCTCCGCGATTAATCGTTTAACCGCCGTGGAAACCCTCGCGATTCCGCCGACGCAATCCTTTTCGTTTTCCTTGTGACACGTGCCGGAATGCGGTCCCGTTTGCACGAACCTGTACAGATTTTTCGTCGCATTTAATGCTGGAAACTCCATAGATACGACACTCGATTAAAACGAATAATGTTTTATACCCCAAGAGAAAAGGCATAGACGAATAAACATGTCTAAAGTGCCACCAAATTCAATTTTGGATATATCGATAGATCGGCCCCACAAAGAAAACTTTTTATTAACTCATTATTATTCACACTAGAATGAGCATAACTTAAAATAGGCGTTTACTGAAATTTATCTTCCAATTTATACAGGGTGTTCGGTAACCCCTGGGAAAAATTTTAATGGGGGATTCTAGAGGTCAAAATAAGACGAAAATCAAAAATACCAATTTGTCGATGGAGGCTTCGTTAAAAAGTTATTAACGTTTAAAATTCCGCCCGTGTTGAATTTTTTTTTTCATTTGGGGGTATGTCTATTCACCAAAAATAATTGTAATTGACCCCCGCAACTGGAAATAATTTTTACAAAACGATTTGAAATTTTTGAATTTAATTGTTAATAACTTTTTAACAAAGCCTCCATCAAGAAATTGGTATTCTTGATTTTCGTCTTATTTTGGCCTCTAGAATCATGTAAATTTTTCCCAGGGGTGGTCGAACACCCTGTATATCGCTATTAGTAGACTGTGGATATTCATGCATTTATGGGAAATTTTAATTTTCAAAAAGATACAAAGTGCATTTCATATACAAAAATATGAGAAATATTTGAAGTAAGATACGAATTATTATATTTAGGGGTTGAGACAATCAACTACAAAATCCCCACTTCATTAATTCGATTAATAAAAACATGAATTTGCATAATGATTTGCAGTCTACTTATCCTTACTATTGGGGTAGCCAGGGGACAAAACATAATTTACTGTTTAAGATTCGTTTCTTTTATTGTATGGAATACAAAATTATGAAAAAAATCATGGATATTATATCTAAAGGCGTACACGTTTTTATTGTTTTTCAGTCTTGTTATTAATGTGAAATTTTTTCAAATTTTTTTATGGGGTCGAATATAGTTAAAAAAATTAAAATCCTTATTTGTTTAGATTATTGTCTGAAATATTCGGTTGGCCATGTTTACATTATTACAGTTTTAGCAAATTGTTGTGATTAGTAATGTACAACCTCTTCAGATTTGTTGAAAAGGAATTTAGAGATCCTCTGAGAAATGTTGATATAAAGTATGCTATTTATGTATGAAAAATATGCTAGTATGCAGGGAAAATATACAAAATTTACAATACATTTTGCGATTGTTATGACATATTGTAATTCGAGCTACAATAAATAACGAATTTCCTAATAGACTAAATTAGTTCGTTCAAGAAGATATTCGACATGAACACGAAATATATAAAAAAGCATGCCATAACGTATTGTATATGTTTTTAAACATAAAACATAAAAACATGTGCATTATGCATAACATGCAAAATAAAAAATATATTTTTAGAATTCTCTATTCATAAAACATATTTCTGTCCAGGTCCCATTGCTATATCTGTTCTCTATAAAAATATACATTTGCATAAACATCCGAAACCTAGTCATAAGCAAAATTAAGGGATCAACAAATTTTGATAAAAAAATTGTCAAATTTAAACTACTGTAGCTTCGTAAAAACAAGATCGTACAACGATCAGCATATTTTAAAGCTTGAGGTCGATTTTCACATGGGTAAACCAATGTTTACAAAAATTTTCTTACATCAAAGATTAGAGTGAAAAACTGAAAATACTCTTCTTCTAAAAATACGATCAACTCGACCGATTCTACGGACCTCAATTCATTTTGTTTGCAATTCTCTCCTTTATAGTATCAAAGTACGATTTTTTGGGACGTTTTATCGCAGATTGAATGAAAAATGTTATAGTTTTGTCCGATAGAATTTGCACGTAATTTTAATCATGTTTCGTTAACTTTCTTATTTCCAATGGTTTCAGAATAAAAATTATATATTCCTATAAAAAAAAAAAACAATATTAAAATAATCCTTCGATATCAAGAAACATAAAAAATGTTAAAAAAGTGAACTTCTGGAACGTTATAATGGAATAAATGTAATAAAATTGTTATATTTCGGTCTGTTAATATATCTACGCTATTAAAAAATCACAATGGAAATTTATTTATACCTTTCCTACACGATATTATTAACAAGGTAATCTAACGTTAAGAAAGTTGGGAAACGTATTATTTCGCAGCCATTGTTCGGTGCAACCAATGAAGATTTAACTCTTCTATCGCTGTAATTGACGCGAACACTTGTTATTATTAGCGATAATTAGCGGTAAGATTTTCAATGACCTCGTTTTTCGACATCGTTTGATGAAATCAGTTCGATGCACAACTCGTGTGTGGCTTACCTTGCGTGAAAATCGTTTAGGTGTATCACCGATAGCTCGAATAAATCCTTTCGTCCGGTGTAATATACTCCTCTTTCGGTGAATCCCCAGGATATTTGAAACAGGAACACCAACAGCCAATTCGAACGCATCGTGGATTTGATATTGTTCCGATGGAAATCGCTTTATTCGCATGAAATTGCAGCTTTTCTCTGCGGATAACGCGTGCGAATTTTCCCCGATGCGCCGTTCTTGATTCCACGTTGTTGAGCTCGATTTTTGCGTACCCTATCTATCGGCAATTAGTATCGACCTGTCTCGATCGCTCGATCTTCGATAACAGCCCCCAATTATTCCGTAGCTGCAAAACAGAAGAATAAGCGTATTGTTACATTCGAGTGTGTAGGATTTCTTTTATGATAGATCGAACACGCGTGGACAATGAGATATTGCTCAAGGATTAAAGTAAATCTGGATTACGAAAGTTTCTTCGATCGATAAGACTGTTAAAAATTGATGCAAAGAATCGTTGCAACACAGTGTGTGTCATGCAATTGAATCGTATTTCCTGTTTCATTGGAGACAAAAAAAACTGGCACAAGAAAAACGTCGGAAACAACATGATCTATATTCCTTCGACCTCATTCCTTTTTTATACGCGTAATAACGCGGGAGTAAATGGAATTACAATATTTTGAAAAATGAAATCGTATTTGTAGTCGTTGCGCGAATCGATTATTCTTGTCGTTTTACGTATAAAAGTGCTAAGTTATGGGCATCGAAAATAGAATGCCTGGCATGATGTTTGAAAAAAACACGTTCGATATCAGAGCATTATCTGCATACTGCAACGTTTGCTATTCACTCCCGTGTTTACACTTTTTGTCCCACAAACGTAACTTTATGTAAGCTTCCATTATGGTTATCTCGTGAAGTATTTGTTTTTCGATGGTTTCATCATGGTACTGTAAATATAAAGTAATACAAATCATCAGTCTGTTTTTAAAATTTTATTTTCTAAAACTACTCTTTTTCTATTCCTACCAAAAACTTATCGCGTGAGAGTTTTTTAAATAGTTCCATAAGCATTCCAGTTTCTGCAATAAAAAGATTTCCCCCAAATCCAAATACTTCGTTTGCCCGAAATCAGGGACTAAAAATAACAGTTACATAATAATGATAATAACATGTTTTGATTACGGGTTTGATTACTCGTGTATACAAACAATACAATGTAAAATATATAAGCTGTATGAACAAAACTTGTTGACATTGGTGCAGTCAAACAAATCATATAAAGTGATATGAAACTCCTGGCAAATAAGATTATAATGTCTTCTAGCAAAAACTTAATAACTCCAAAAGTACATTATTAATTCTTATTGAAAAAATTATTGTTAATTTGGATTTAATTTTTTTTCTTCTTTCCGTTCTTCTTATTATTTATTAATTATCGTAGAATCAACAAAATGTTTGTATAGTTGAACAGTTTACGTTGATATTAAACCCATTGTTAAACTAATAACATGCAAAATGGAAAAGTTCATAGCGTTCGAAAGGAGAGCAAAAATTTTTTCCTTGAATAAATTAATTTTATATCAAATAATTTTTCCAGTTATCCCAAACACCAATTTGAAGAACGTGGTTTTGAGAAAAACGTGTTTAAAGTTTGTAATAAAGCTTTAAAATACGCTTACCTTAAACAAAAAATCGATCTTTTAAGTCTGTTACACGAGAATCCCCCTTAATCGATAAAATGGAGGAAAAATGCATGGAGCTAGCATCGAGAAAAAGAACTTATGTATTGCTGAATTCGTAACGTGTATTGATCGAACGAGTTCGTCGAAGTCTCTTTTTCTCTTCGCGGATGGTTTTATCAGTAAAGAAATAAATAAGAACTGCACTGTTTATTTGTACAAACTCGCGTATAAGCGAAGAGTTATTTTTCGCGAATGGGGGAAAACACTCGTTTAGTTCGACGATTATAATTACCGATCAGCACGTGTAATTTTTATATCGAAAACAATGCTATCTGTAAATATTCTAAATGTTTACGAATATTTAATTAAGATAAGAAACACGCACCGTGCGAACAAACATATTCATGGTTATTTAAATACTGTTACGACATCATAGTCGTGCAACTCGACAGACTTACGACCTTATCGTTTCGAGGAAAGTCAGAACTGACAGAAATATGTTTGACATAAATTAATTCAACGACGCGGAATTCATTGATGGTGAATTACTACTTCGAAACACTTGTGTTTGTGTGGCAAGTTCAATTTTTCAAACTTCGACTACGAAATTCGTGTTTTTCCTAGGTGATATCGATGGAGAATCAAAGTTTGAAGAATTACAGTAACCTTCGATTTTCGACAGTAGAATATCTGATTTTATAATTTTTCAAAATTACATTTCGTTGCATACGTTTAAAGAAAAAGAAGAAAATTTAAACAAATTATTACGCAATTCGTAAAGTCATATTAGTTTTGGGTAATAATAGTTAAGTATTGTTATTGTAATAAACAGAAATTAAGCGAAACAATGAAGAAAAATGACGCGCGAATAATTTTAGACTTTTACGATGTAATTTGCGTCTTAATTGAAAAGAAGAAAAAAAATGAAGTGACATAATGATGGGAATCGTGTTCCGGAAGAGAGCACGATATGATTGGCACCTTCCGCGTCGCGATGGCCGAATTTCGACGCGAGCATAATCGGCTGGTTTGGCGAAACGTAGCCATAATTAATCACAAAGAGACGTGATTAATTGCAAATCGGACGCGCAACACACCTGTAGACCGCGGCAGCTCGCCAAGAACTGGGTGCCTAAAAGAAGGTTTATCTTTCCACTCCTTCCACGATAAGTCCATTATCGGACTAAAATAACGCTCGTTATACAACTGTGAAACTAAAAATCGTCACTCTGGAAACCATTGTTATTTGTCCGAATTAAAGTTTTTCGTTTTAATTAAAATAAAAAAAAGCACAAATGAAGTATACATTTTGCAAGCATACATTCATTCATATTAAAATTATATTTCTTACATAAACGTTCTTGACTACATATAAATCATCTTTGAATAAAGAAATCTATAAGTTCCAAAACGCAAAAATGATTAAACAGAATATCTGCTGCAAAGTAATGAAATTAATTAAATTCTGTGTAATATACAAGTGTAACGAACTACATTAATATTACGAAATAAATATTCTTTCGAAACATAGAGAAGAATGATTTTTTTCAATCATAATTGAATGATTACTGGGTTATGAAAACACATGAGACATAATCATTATAACCTATTTCTATTTGTAAATGCTAATTTTAGTACTTTCAGTGTAATATTGAAAGACGATAATTATAAGTAATGTAAATTTCTTCGTTGAAATATACAAATTTTAAAACATTTTTGTATTTAGAAAATTTGTATTTTATTTTCAATAAAAGGAAAGTTACTACTAATTTTATTTTCTGTTTATTTTTAGAAAACGTAATATAATTTACTTTATTTCGTTAACATTTCGGCCATTCTGCTGACCATCTTCAAATCATGTTATATAAACAACACAAACGTAATATAGAAAATACGTTAATAAAATCATTTTACGTTGTATTCGTTAAGTTGTTTCGTTATGTTTGTATTGTTCATATTGTCTGAGTTACTATGCAATGGAACTTTGATTATTACAGGAAATCAAGGTAATCAATTTTAATAAGTAGCAGTTCTATTCCCACCACTACTAACCTTATTTATTGCTTAGCGACCATGCTAGACTTGCCAACTAAGCAATAATGGAAGTTCTACTACATTTTATTACTTTTATATTACTTCTGAGAAGCGTGGTATTAAAATAATAAGAATAGCCTTGCTTAGACATTGATAGACCAATGAAGCGTAATGAAATACAAAAATAATTTATTGCAGTGCCTATACATATGTATAGTGTATTGTGAAGTGAAAATAGTACTATGTATATACTGTGAATATAATAAGATTGTTTTATTTATTTTATGAAACTCTTAACAACTTGTAGAATTCATTATTTTATGGAGTATTTCTTACCCAATTTCTAAAATATTTGACCCCGACCAATATTTGCAGAATGTTTTCAATAGGTCCAAACTTAAACTTACTTGAAAATGATTCTTGCGTTACAGGAAAATATATATAATTCGTTTATCGATAACAAAAATATTATATAATAACATTAACATTACTCCGTCAAATGAAAATAATTCCTATATATAATACTGTGAATACTATGGTAGTAATTTATTTTATAAAATTTTGTAAGAACTCATTCATCCTAGAAAAAGAGTTTCCTGATAAAGTTCCTAATCATACAAATTTTGACGATAAAAATATCACAAGAACAGAGATTCTTTTTATTTTTGTTTTAAAATGGACTGAAAAAGTTTGTGATTCATTATGAAAATCCCCCCAAAAATCTGTACGCAAAAATATTTTTCCTAAATCATAAACCCAGACCCTTTCAGAGGTATTAACAGACTATTTTGAACACAATAGTTATTTCTTTAAAATTCTACATAGTTATACGTTTCTATTCCTATAGAGTGGAATAAGGATGATAAATAAATAAATAAAATTCATGACTTTAGAAAGTTTATATTCAGAAGTAATTTTCAATGCACCGATTAGTGTTGCTTCGCGAATGTTTGATATTTTGTCGATAGCCTTGCGTCGCGGTTTCGTTATTTTATTTCGATGGCGTGGCGACGCTTTCAAGAGAATAAAAAAAAACAATGTCAGGGATAAACAATTCCAGAAACAGATCGTTAATGAATTCAGCATTTCAGGAACAAAAAGGGAGAGACTTGTGCGGGCAAGGGTATCCGAAAAAAGGGGTGGAAGGGATAGAGGTCAGAAGAATTTCAGATAAAGCGAACCTGTAACAATCCTTAGGTTCTTTTCATAGGATCTCCTTCTACCTGACTTAGTCGGTGTGTGTTCTTCGAACAAGTAGTGTCTCCTGGAACGATAGATCGTGACACGTGAATAGAGTGCAAACCCCTGCAATTTGACAGCTTCCCATCGAATGAGAGTGAATCTTTCAGTTTGCTTTCATTAATCGTTAAATAGCCAGCGTGTAACATGGTACTATGTCATTCAATTAATATTAAAACTACTATTTTATCGCTAAATGATGCTGTATTAGAAAAATAAAAGGCCATAGGATAACTCCTAAGTGAGCATCTTAGGTATTTCTTATATTTAAAAAAAATGAACTTGAATCGTTCCAACGTTTTATTCGAAACGAAGAAATTAATAAATATCTGAAATAACTTCCAATTTAGGAATTTCATACATTGAAAAGTACATCAATATTTGTCGTATTAAAAAGGAATAATTATAAATTATTTCGACATTTAATTCGAAAGGAAGAAATTAATAAATATCTGAAATAATTTCCAATTTAGGAATTTCATGCATTGAAAAGTACATCAATATTTGTCGTATTAAAAAGGAATAATTATAAATTATTTCGACATTTAATTCGAAACGAAGAAATACAAATATCTGAAATAATTTCTAATTTAGGAATTTCATACGTTGAAACGTAGATCAATATTTCTCGTATTAAAAAAGAATAGTTATAAATTGTTTCGACATTTAATTTGTCTATTAATTTGTCGACTAATAAATAAATGGGGCAACTTTTAACAAAGGGATTTTTCTTAATCTTGCACTTACAATTAGATAAGTATTTGTTGTAATAAATTTATTTCAACATTTCATTTGAAACGAAAAGACTGACAAAAAGTTGGGGGCCTTGATCTTTAAATAAGTGGATTTGAATTGCCTTGGTATCAAATTAGAAAGGAAGAATTGATATTTTAAAGCTAGTTAGATATTGCTTGTATTAATGAGTAGTCGATTTTGATTATTACATAACTGTACTAAATCGAATTTCTTTTTTGCACCAAAAAGCAAATCACTGAACAAACGATAAATATTTCATACGTAACAGGTGATGGATTTATGTATATTATTACGACACTGAATTAAAAAGAAACTGATTGACGGGAAATCGAAGTGATAAATATAAATCGTTATGTAATCATGCTAAATAGGAGAAATTTATAAACAAGGCAATTTCAATATTAACAGTCCTTTCGTATCTTCATTCAAAAACATACTGCTTATCGTAGACAAAATTGAATTCCATTTTAGACCAATTTCAACATTAACAGTCCTTTCGTGTCTTAATTCAAAATAATACTGCTTATCGTAGACAAAATTGAATTTCATTTTAAACCGAATAACAAACTTAATCTAAACTAAAACTTTATTAGAGTTTTGCTTTTTATCATTTAACAATTCTAATTGTCTAACACCCGCGATCTTTCAATTCGCAATTACAAGAAATATACCGATACAGAAATTAAGGCGTGGAATTATCAACTTGTGCAAGCACTGAAAAACTAGTTTGAAATGTTACATAATTTTTTTTCACTGCACGAACTGGTTATTAACTGGTAATATATGCGATAGAGTGTATATGTATAACTTTTCCACCTTCACAAGATTTTAGCGCGTTGCACCAGATAAAAATGAGAACTTTGCATATAAAACAGACGCTGTTTGCGCTACAAACCTGTTTCGAGCTTCGATATAATCAGAAAAAATCCGAGTTCGGTTGGAACCGTGATACTGAGCTGACGTGTTTGTCAACACCGAGCGTGCTGTGAACGCGAGTGCCAAGTACAGTGCCAATCAAATCTTATAGGTATTCATGATAGTCTGTGTTACTGTTGATTAGTGAATATTACTAAATTGTTATAAACCAACTTCTTAACCCATTTCTACGCCATTCTCGGTGCAACCTATTCACCGAAATGGCTTCTGACCACGGAAATTTGGTACCCCAAACTGTTAATAATGATTCT